GTTGCTACCAAGCTTTTCCACAAACAGGCATTTGCACAAACCCTAAAATCTTTCTCATTTCTTTAGGTAATAGCAAAGTGAAAATGTGGACAGTGGTATTTAGAACCTGCACATTTTTTGTGGTGAAAATAAAAATTGCCTGTAGTTCATCTTCTGCTTTTCCTGCCCACATTTGTCTTGCCTCTGGTCATTCTTGCTGCAGTTACTATTTCATATTGCAAAAGATCAAGTCAGCTTTAGCTTCCGTTTGCTCTGTGTGGTTTGCCATGACTCTATGGAGCACTCAGCTGGAGAATAAGATGCTGGTGCAGATGCGTCCCTGATTTTGTCCCAGTGAGGCCAGATTCCACATATCCATCTTAAGAAATTAAATTAAATAGGTGGACAAATACTTCTAAAAATTGTGATGGCTTTTCATGAACAGCAGAGACTACAAGGAAGTTCAGAAGTGGTGAACCAAAAGCAAAAGGAATGAGTCTGGTTTGTCTTTTTGTCTTTTTGTGGGTTGGGGTTTTTGGTTGTTGGTTTGTGGTCTGTGGTTTTTTTTTTTTTTTCTTTTTTTTCTTTAGATGATCTGTTTCAATATGGGATTTAGCAATCATACATAAAAGAGAATTCTCCCCATTAAAAAACCGAAGGTGGTATGGTGGCTGGTTGGGCCAGTGAGCACTGCACAAAGTACTGAATCAAAATGAACACTTTGTGGAAGTCCACATAACTGAGACAGATTTTTGAAGTACCAGTAGAAAAAAGTTAGTAGTGACATTCTTTGACACGTATGGGTTTCTGCTATGTATATCTGATAGATAGCACAACACGTGATATCACCCGGTGTGCACTCTCTGTGGGCACAATCTTTTGCTTACTAGTTCCAAACAGTATTCCTTCTATAAAAGAATAATAAAACAAAGCTCTCCTCATGGACAGCTCAGCAGCCCTCTTTCTACCGTGTCCCACTCAGGTTAGAGGAATAAAATAGCTTCAAAGTTTTATGAAGCCAGTGTGGCATTTTATGTAACAGCATTTCTTCAGCATTTCTTGAATGGAGCTCCCGTAGTCGTGCCTTGTGTGGAGCCCTTGGAGCTGCTGCGCTCCGGGGAGGGAGGAACACAAAGGATTGGAGGGGAGGGAGTAATGAACTTTGAACATAACAGAGGTTCATCATTTAAAGGAGTTGGGGTTTCCTGCTGGCTGTGTGTGCTTCTGAACTGTTCTTTATTGCCTTCTGATATGACTTGTGAAAGATGATAGTAATATTGCTGTTCACTTTAATTTTATGCAGCCAGTTCTAAACTCCTCAAATCCACTTTTATGCAGACCAGGAGAGAGAAAAACGCCTTTATTAATGAAGTGGCACCCTCTTTGTTCCAGTTTCCCTGGTTGTGCTTATTCCTTTGGCTGCTATGCGTGCTTGGCTCTCTCAAGTCATTTTTCTCTAATGTGATGGTGATGCGGGACAACCAGATGCTATCCAAAACCCTCTTTTAGAGGGCTTTCTCCTCTTGGCTGAGCAACCCTAGTAACTGAAGTCAAGGAAGCTCTATTGTGCACTGAGGAATGTAGTGGGAAGCTGCTGTGCCCTTCCTAGCGCACTCAGCGTTGGCATGAAGGAACCGGGGGAGCAAAGACCGACTTATTTAAAAGACCTCTCCATCTTCTTCCCACAAAGCATAACACTGCATAGCAAGTGTCGTACCTGCTCTGCTGGCTGAGAGCTGCAATATGTATTTCATTTTGCCCAAGCCAACCCACAGAGCTTACATAAGTGTCTTTCTGTCCCATCCCATGTCAGACCAATTTTAAATGTAAATCCCAGTGCTGTGGGATATTGCCTAATCAGATTAGAGAGCATGGACCAAGTATCTTTGCTGCTGTATCGCCAGTTCTTCGAGATGGTTGTACGTAAATCGTGGTTTTTAAAGTACTACTGTATATGAAGAGTTTGGGTTGGAGGGTAGGGGCTACGCCTGTTGTAATTTATCATTATTATTTCCTAGGCTTGAGGAAAATTGTTTTTCATATCATGGAAAAAACCCTACTTTCAAGCCTATGGAATGACAGCATTTTTTCATTGTCCGATGCTGATTTGCTGCATCACCATATATCCACAAATGTCCGTGCACCTACACCACTGACAGTAAAATCTCCAGCATGGTCTCCAAATGGAAAGATGGCATCAGCAGCAGTAGGGCAGGACAGACGCAACCTCCGTCCTCTCAAAACAAGTTCTGCTGAGTCTTTGGGCTTGCCGCTGCCTGAGGGTGCTAAATACTTGTAGTGTGTGCAATGGGGTGTTTGACAAAGGCTGTGCTGTATGAGGGAGTTACGTGCATCTCCACACGCAATTGTTTCAACCACTGCTTTCAATCTCTTTTAATATTAAAAGCACCAGGCTGCCTGCCAAACCCCTCTCACCCTCAGCACAGACATGTGCAGACTTGCTGGGGACCCTCGTGAAGTTTCAGCCTTACGTTGAGCATTATGGCAATACTGAAACAGGTCCAGGCACCTTCCTCCAGGAGGACCTTCCAAATCCCAGGTTCTTTGCTTTGTTCATGAAGATTTTTGAACTAACCCTCCAGTTCATCCTTGTCATGGACTCTTACATGGGACTAAATTGCTCACTTTATTCAACAGAGGCTTTAATGCATATCCAGAAGTCTCCAGACTGACAAGGCTGGAAGAGCAAGAGCAGGCTCCATGCGCAGCACTGTAGGTGTCAGGGGGTGAATCCACGCTCCCCTTGTCTCAGTTGTTCCATTCTGAGATTCAGCACGGGTCCTCTCCTGGAGTGGCAGCTGGGAGGATGAATTTCTCCCTCATTAAGAGCCAAACAAGAGACATACATATACGTGTCTCTCTATGTAGTGTTGGTTTCTTTGGGGTTTTTTATGTTGCTTTGGGTTTCTTTTTCTACCCATGCTCCAGTAGTTGGAAGCTCCTGCTGATGATAAAGCACAGCCCAAATGTAAATTACAACAACAACAACTCTGATCTAGTAGAGGACCTGTTTGTAAAAGCACTAGAACACCCTGACGGTGCTTGACGTTGCACAGCCTGTGCTCAGCAGTAGCACTTCCAGTTCTGTGTCTCCATCAGCAGGTGGTGCTGGCAAATCGCGCATTGTTATTGTGCTCTGACGATGTCCCCACCATCGACTGACAAACGTGTAGGTGGGAAGTCACAGTTCCCACAGGATCTCAGTCCAGCCTCGGAACAGGAGCCCCATTTTGCCCACACAATGATCTGTATTTCCCCATGCATACGGAAATACCTAAACTGCTCAAACTTTGGACTACAGACAGAAATGACATTTATTGGTGCACAAAATTGGACAGGCTTGCAGTGAAATATGGAAAACTGAGTCCACGGCTTTATGAAGAGGAGATATCTGTACACAGCAGGACTTGTGAGGATGTGAAAGTACACAAATGGAATTTCCCTCTTTGAGTCCCACCTTGAAGTGGAACAAAGAGGAAGGTGACAAGCACGATCCTTGTTTCTCTCCTCACCTCAGCATACCTACAGCTGATTCTTCTTCAGCTTTCAACAGAAAACTTGTTTTTTTATTATTGGATGTGACCTTCTAATAAGTGTTATAATCATGCAGTGGTCTGAAATGAGAAAAGCTCTGTTTATAACAGAACCTTAATATGGTTTTTTATGTTTCTTTTACCATAATTTACAATTATCAGTGAATGGCTAATAATCACAGTCTTCCTTTACACAAATCTGTAAATTAAATTAGTGTTGATTTTTGCATGTCCTCATGGCCAATGTTGCCCACATTGCCGTGAGGTGTAGCTTCACACTGGCAAGTCTTTCATTTGTTGGACTCTCTGGTTGGAGGACTGGTGACTGGCATATGGTAAAAGAAGCTATTAAGAGGAACTAGACAATAAATCAATCATTAAGAGGCATAGAATAGACGTGCAAGACACTAGCTCACTGACTTCTTTTTCCAGTTGAAGTGGAGCTGTGTAAGTGTGCAGGAGTTAGATGTGCTTCAGAGTTGGCTGAAATATCCCAGGTCATTTTTCATAATGCATATTTGATTCTTTGATTTTTCCTGTTTAGATTTGGAAAATTTATATTGTACCAGTAATGGTTTTTGAAAAGGTGCAAGAATGCAACCCACAGTAGGAAACAGACGCTGTGGAGTGATTGTTGGAGCCTCTTGTCCTACAGTGCTTGTAATTTAAGCTTAGTGAAACATTTGTCATCAACAGCTAATTATAACCACATGTAAAACTCAACATCATCACCCAGGATAAAGTCCTGATGCTTGATCTGGTTTATTGTTTAATTCCTTTGGGAGTGTTTTAGAGAAAGGTGTTTTAGGTAAGTGCACACTGTTCAGAACTTTTTCAATTCACTATTAAAGGTGGCAACTGCTGTTTCTTGATAGCCACAACTTGTTGTAAATAAAGGAACTTTACAGTCATGGGAATTCCCCTTTAGTTTTTTAAATGCAGACCTATTGCATGGGATAGTTTAATTGCCCAAGTTCTGGACTGTTAAATATATTATTTACTCGGATATTAAATAGAAATCTCATTACTGATACATCTTGTGTGTGTGTGTATATATATATATATACACTCTGGGCTGTACGCTATGTACAATACAGTGCTGCATTTTAGAATTATTTTGTTTCTGTATACTCATAAGAGATCTATAGGGGAAAAATGAGTAACTGTGGCTTGGAGATTGTTTTGGGGGGATATGTTAGTTCTTCACTGCTTCCTCCTGAGTCACTAAGAAAACATCACAAGGGCAGAGCCAAGCTCCTCGGTGAGACACCCTTGTTGCGAGGCTCATTCAGCAACGAGGTCGCCAGCCACGGTACTTTTTAAAGTTGCCTAAAGGGCTCCTGAAGCAAGCCTGAATTCGGCAATGTTGTGTTTTACAGATCCATCCAGAAGCCGGTGCGGGACCGCAGCCTAGCTCCCAGCTGTCCCGGAGCGGGGCCGTGGGCGCCGTGTTTCTCCTGCCGAAGCCCAGCCGCCGCGGGTGGGTGACCACGAGCCGCAAAGCTGCTGTCCACGTGGACTGGTGCTGAAATCTCTCGCCCGGCTGCTGCCAGAGCCTCCCCCGCCAAGCCCCGAGACATGGCCACCAACGGGACAAAAGTGGCAGATGGACAGATCTCCACAGAACTTGATGCTTCGATCACCAATGACAAGCCTAAAACCTTGGTAGTAAAAGTGCAGAAGAAGAAGACGGATCTTCCAGACAGAGATACTTGGAAAGGAAAATTTGACTTTCTTATGTCCTGTGTAGGTTATGCCATTGGCTTAGGGAATGTGTGGCGATTTCCATACCTTTGTGGCAAGAATGGTGGAGGTATGCTTGTTTGCTGTTTCATTCTTACATCTTCTGTTACACTTGTATATTAGAATTCACTATAAAAATCATCAGTAAAAGATAACTTAGTTTTAATAGATTTTTCATCTGTATAGGTGATGTTTGGTTTGGTTTGGTTTTTTTGGGTTTGTTTGGTTAGTTTTTTGCTTTACACTTGTCTGGGGGAGTTGGAGCCATTTTGGAGTGTGGTGCTCTGCTTTGAGGTCTGCTCTGAGTTATTCTAACTTCTAGCTGGCTGGTGCTCCCTAAAAGACCCCAAGGTATTAGAGCAGAACTAAAGGACATTGCCCTCCAACCCTTCAGAGCCCTCTCTTTTGGACTGAATTTTTGAGAGGACTGTGTATGGCTCGTAATACTGACTCTGAGCTTACCATGAAAAGGCTAACTGCAGCTGGAAAGCTGCCAGTTCTGGTTAAAGCCTTTCTGCTATCTGCATGCGCCTGTGATAAATGAAGGCAACAAAACACAGTCTTTTGACTTTTTGCTTTTTACTTGAACAGAAAATAATTAAATGATGAGAAGATATATTTTTCCCCCTTACTTTCACCTCATGACATACTGGTTTAGAAGTGTACATGTGCTTTTCACTAACTTTTTTTGAAAAGTTACATGTAAGAGGAAAAATACGTTGGTTTCTTTTCATATATAATAGGGATGGAAACAGTGGAAACTCAGTTGTGTTTTTCCTCCACTGTAACAGACTTCTTATTTCTTTTTAGGTGCATTCCTGATTCCCTATTTCCTTACTTTAATTTTTGCTGGAGTGCCACTGTTTCTTCTGGAGTGTTCCCTTGGTCAGTATACATCTATAGGGGGCCTTGGAGTGTGGAAGCTTGCTCCAATGTTCAAAGGTACAGTATGAATTTGGATTGCTTTCCATTTGCTTCCAAGTTGCAGAAGTTGCACAAAGTGACAGGGCAAGGGTGTTTCTTTCTGCCTTTGTATTTTTACTTAAACTGTAATTTTCTACAGAACCCTAATTTTCTGCAGTGTAACTGACAATTTTGAAGCACACTGGGTATTATTTGTTCCCCATTAAAAGCAGCAAGAGTTAGGCTTTAGAATCTCAACAAACTTATTTTTGAACTTCAAAAACTTTTATTTTTTGTTAGGAAAATATAAAGACTGTTCAAAATAGTAGATTAAATCTAGCAATAGTTGCCTGAGCAGGTATGGAACTCTGTTCACAGCAGTTTGGTAAACACTGTTTCTGTTTGAGGTCACAGAGGTTTGCATCTCCTGTTGTTCTTTATTGAAATCAAAAGCCAGACACTTCAGAGACAGCACTTGCACGATGAATTACTTAAGACAAGCTCACTGCATGGTTGGATTTTTAGGTAGTTTAAGGTTTCTCACTGCTAGAACCTCAAGGTTTTAATCTAGATCCTGCATAGCCCTACAAGCCTCACAAACTGTGCTTGTCACCCTCAGATCCCAAATCCTTTGACAGTTTAGAGCTCCTGAGATGACTTTTGGACCAGCAGAGGAGCAAGTTACACATTGAGTTATAAATGACTCCACACAGTAAGACTGACAATTAGCACAGCGTGAGCTAAAAGTTTGTTTGCAGTGGATTTTTTACTAGGAAATTTTGTTTTGGGAAAAACCCAGAGAGACAAAAATGCTTCCCACAGGTTAAGTCTTTTATCTTTGCTGGAGTTACTGCTGTTGGTAGGGCACACAGTGCAAAGCGTAGACTTTGCTTTGCATTATACTGATTATTTTGAGCACTTGCTCCTGTTTAGTGTCATGTGGCAACTGTCACCAGACTGAATATTTTAAAATACCCCTGAAGTCTCCATGTGGAGTAGAAGACGAGGCATCCTCATTGTGCAGCCCCTGACGTTTCTTTAGTCTAAGATGACATAATAGCATTAAGCTAAGCTCCATGTACTTTGATCAGTGTGCTAAGTGGCTAGCTGGTCTCATACTCAATTTGCATGCATCTGCCAGAAGTTTCTGTGGGGCTGCTGTTTCAGAGAATGAGCTGATTTAGCTCTTTTCCCTGGAAATAAAAAATGGCTGTAAAATTTCAGCAGCAGCAGATGTGACTGCTTACTGCAACACACAGGGAACTGGACATTATGGTTTAATTCATGGTTGACTGACCTATCGCCCAAATTACTGACCTTTTTATAATGGTACTTCTAAAATTTTAACTTGGCTTCTACAAAACTCAGTGAATGGTGTCTGCCCCATATGCTATATTTGTCTTTCTGAACTGCAGCTCTTCAACTGACCCTTGTAGAGACATTACTCAAAGTTACATTCTTTTGTCTATTTTTTTCTCTCATTGTTTTCTTTACAGGTGTGGGACTAGCTGCTGCAGTCCTTTCCTTTTGGCTAAATATTTACTACATTGTGATTATTTCGTGGGCCATATACTACCTGTATAACTCCTTTACTACTGTAAGTGTCTATGGGGGGGAGGCAGGGGGTTGGAATTGTTTGCTGATTAATCTGATTAAACTGTTTAACTGTAAAGGTGTAAGTTTAACACAAAATGCATAGAAATCAGTCTGATAAGCCACTTCTTACTAAAGGAAAACTATTTTGTAAAAATCCCTTTTAAATTTCTTTTTCCTCCACAAGAAATACAGGCTAGAAAACTGTCAGGAAAATATTCCGTTCCAAAATGTCAGTGGAGAAACATAATGGGTTATTTTGGAGCAACAACCTTCCCATTCTTACCAATTTTGTTTAAATTTTCTCATCTTCATCTTCAGACCCACAGCTCTTTCACCTGGACCCTTTTAGTTTCATGTATTACCTGTCGCTGCCCTTTCATCACAAGCACACCTGCTTGCTTCTCTGCTTACTTGCCGGGCACCTGCAAGTCATGCTCAGGCTTCGCGCTCCTAGTGCTAGGAGGGAGCGCTAGCATCCCTTTGCCTCTGAGCCTATGGGCCAGCCATTCCTCTGAGAAAAATTCTAGTGTAGAACTGATTTTTTTTCTTCAATAGCAGCCAAACAAATGTGGGTTCTTTGGGAAACAGTATCATTGCAATATGTTGTAATAGTGGAGGGGTTTGTTAAAGAAATCCCCATGGAACGGAAGGTCTGTGGTTTGATTAGCTCTGAACTTCCATTCATTGTTGCTATTTTCACTTTGTTTTATTTCCTTTTAACTTTATTTTTAGCTGCCGTTTTTTCCCCTCGAGGATGAATCACCAGCTGAGTAGGCCTTGTCTGATTTGTGGGGTCTGGCCACCTGGGGAAGCATCCTTACATAAGTCTCAATAATTAATGCTTTATTGTTCAATTGTTGCCTCTTCTACAAATCTTGTTCGTGCCTGCTTGTTCTCAGTTTTAAAGAACTGTCCCTTGAGCTAATTTGCATTAATTACTGTCTGGGAGTGACATGACCATTTCTTTTTCTGTTATCCTCAGACTTGTTATTGATGTGAAAGGTCAGTCATAGTCTGGAAGTGGTGCACTGGTCCGTATTAGATGACTATTGACGTCTAATTCCCTTGAAGCCTCTTATCCTTGTATTTAAAACACTGCAGTACCCTGATACAACATTTTCTGTGAGAGGATTTTCCAAGATTGGCCATCAGAAGAATATCCAAGTTGTATCTAAATAAGATTTGTTCTAATGGATATCATGTGGAAACAGTTTTTGCTTCTCAGAACTTCTGAAAGATGCCTTAATATAATGGACGCATGCAGAAAACACATATAGAAAATAGAAAGTTTACATTTTCCTAATTGTCCCCTGACTTGCGGGGAAAATAGAAATCTCTGATCAAGAGCCATCACAGCCTGATTACCTGTAGTGCACCAAGAGCTTGCAGGGCCTCCAGGAGGTCCTTCCCGCTGCCCTTGTTCCTTGTACCGCTCAATACACTCTCACGTGCTGAGAGGCGTGTCAGACTCCGAAGCATCTGGGCTGATATATCAAAGAAAGGAAGAAGTATTTTCACACCTGATTCACACAGCTGATCTGAAGTTAAGTACCTTATGTGGCAGACGTGCACCCCAGGGAGCTCAGGGCACTGCAGAAGTCAGTGTATCAGTTCTCCACTCAACTGTCATTTCTAGTAAAGAGGGAGGCACCTGAGGTAATGCTTACTTAAAAAGTGCTCAACCGTTTAGGTTTTTCTCTCTCTCTTTCTTAAATAGACTCTTCCTTGGAAACACTGTGAGAACCCATGGAACACTGACCGCTGCTTCTCCAATTATACCTTAGCAAACACCACCAACATGACAAGTGCCGTAGTGGAATTCTGGGAGTAAGCTGATAATTTTTCTCTATATCATTCCTTTGCATATGCAAGGATCAGCTTGTTATCATTCACACACTATCTTCTGAATTAGTTGTCAAAAACACCATTCTCTTGGCTTATTCTAGACGCAACATGCACCAAATGACTGATGGATTGGAAAAACCGGGGCAAATCCGATGGCCACTAGCAGTTACTCTAGCAATTGCCTGGATTCTGGTGTATTTTTGTATCTGGAAGGGGGTAGGCTGGACTGGAAAGGTAAGATTAAAAAGTACTGGAAATACATTTCATTTAAAAATGCCCATTTTACTCAAATATTCAGAAAATCCTTGAGGTAAGAGGCACTATTCCAGTTTTGCTGGAATAGCTCTGTGAAGCGTTTCATTTCTATCTTTCTTGAACTGATGCCGCACCGTGTTTTTGAAAGGGCTGGCTCCGCTGCAGCTAGCTCTGACCACAGTCTGGGATGGTATGTTCACTTATAGACTCCTTGGCTTTGCCAGGTATAAAATTGTTCCTGGGATGAATATTCGAACTAGTTTGGATATCAGCAGAGTGAGGATGCAGTGTTTTGGCTGCAGCGAGAAGCTTGTGTTTATTGCACAGCTCTTGGTGGAGTCAGATACATAAGTCAGCGTTGAAGCCGTATGGCACGTGGAGTTACTCCCTCCTTTCCCTGTCCTAAACGAGAGCCGCGGGTGGTCCTTACCATGGACACGCTTGCACGCTGTGCTGCCTGGAGTCTGGCTGGTTTCTGAGTGCAGAATAGAATTTCCTGATGGATTAAAGCACATTATATTATTGACAGATGTTTCTCCAGGAACAGAAGGGCAACAGCATCTGGCACTGGTGTATACCTCTCCCTCTCCCCAAAATAGCAGGAAGAGCTCTCAGGGAAATGAACAGCCACAGCTATGAGGCCTGGTGGCAACTGAAGGCTTGGGTTATAACACCTCAGGCCTCATATAGAGAACCGGGAATTTTTCACACTGAAAGGATCAGTTGTTACCTTTTGACAAGATCGTTGTAACTGTGACCCTCTTCAAGCTGCATGTTGAACATGACCTAGTTGAGCTCAGACCAAACTTCATTTCCCCTGTCTGCAAAGAAGGTGTCAAAAAAAAAAAAAAAAAAAAAGGGGGGGGGCTGGCTGTTTCTTTGGAGCCTGACTTCATAGTGCCTTCTTTGCAAGGCTTTTGAAAGGGCAAGAGAGTAGGATCCTGTAGGGCAATTACACCATAACATAGATGAGTGGGAAGAGTACAAGAGCGGCTGTCTGAGAGCAGGAGAAATAAACTAGCGGGTGTTGTTCTACAAGCAGGGTAGGAGTACTTGAACCTTGTGCGGTTGAGAGCTCCCCTTGAATACAAAAACAGACAAGCGTGAGCCCTTTGTGCAGAAATATCCTAGTCCACATATCCCATCTTCAGGAAAGTCGTCTGCAGCCACCTGCCTTGGAGGCACGGTGTTCAGGGAATTCAGCAGTAGGCACTCCCCACACCAAGCTTTTTCATTGATAAATGCCTCAGTTTTAAAAGTCAGCCTCTGTTGGTGCTGCAGTATTTTTAGGGAGCAAATATTTTCTGAAGTGTTAACAAGGACAAATCATTCTTCCTGCCACACTTACAATGTCTTGTTTCTTCACATCAGGTGGTATATTTCTCTGCTACTTATCCCTATGTTATGCTGCTTATCTTGTTCTTCCGTGGTGTAACACTGCCTGGAGCAAAAGAAGGCATTTTATTCTATGTAACTCCCAACTTCAGTAAGCTTTCAGACTCTGAGGTAAATATTCAATCCTTGTAAACAGAAGTTTCACTGCTAACTGTTCACCTTTCAGACATATGACCTGCTCCTCAAGTGCAGAAACAGATTTTTAAAAAAATTATTTCCTGCAATCAGGTTTGGCTGGATGCTGCCACACAGATTTTCTTCTCCTACGGTTTGGGTCTCGGTTCACTGATTGCCCTCGGAAGTTACAACCCTTTCCACAATAATGTTTACAGGTAAGCAGATGACCGCACCTATTACAGTGGCACTTTCCTGTCTCAGCTGGAGCTGGATTCTGCCTTTCTGTGCAAGATATCATTGAAATAAGGTGTAGTCTCGGATCTGACTATTAAATGTTATGTCTAACTGGGAATGAGATGTGTAACTGCATTTACACTAATGGGAGAGGCAGTATAACTTGTCCAGCGAGAAATGAAACACAAACTATCAAATCCTAAATCGTGAAATCTTTTCACAGGAAAAAGGGTAATACACTGACGAACACTAACATTGCTTTACCTACTGCTTAAAGCATTTTACTTCTATTTCAGGGACTCCATCATAGTGTGCTGCATAAACTCATGCACAAGCATGTTTGCTGGCTTTGTCATCTTCTCCATTGTGGGATTCATGGCTAATGTCACAAAGAGGCCTATTGCAGATGTTGCAGCATCAGGTATCCAATATATTTTTCTCCAAGTTGTTCAGTGGCATCAGTTATTTTTTGTTTATATGTTGTACCCAACGCCTTCATTTAATTGTTCAAAATCCCTCCCTCAAAACCTTCCTCAGCTCCCTGCCATTCCAGTCGCCCGTGCTGATTGCGAAAGGGAGAGCATTGTTCAAACCTCTCAAGGCAGCACCAGCAAAATCATTTCATGTCAAGCTGACTGCCTGCCCGCCTGCCCAGTGCTTGCAAACCTCTGCTGTGGAGAGCAGCCAGCCAGAGCCTCATCGCCGGCTGACACAAGGAATGCTGATGAGCGCTGCTGACAAGGACAGCAGTGCAAGAGGTGGCAGCACAGCCGGCTGCTTCGCTGCTTAGCTCTGACATTCGATTATGAGCCTCTTGCTACTGAAATTCTTAAAAGCAAACTGCAGGAGGAATGATGGTCATTGTGTTTTAGGAGCCTATATTCCCAAATTCAGTTAGGTTTTGAAATTCTTTTTACTGTTTCTTGAGGTTAAGCCCTTTGAGACAAATCCATTTCTCACCTGTTCAGACCTACAGCTATGAACTAGTTTTTATGGGACCCTTTATTATGAAAGTCATTTTACTTGGGGCAGTAAGACGTCCATAGAAGGATTCTGCTATTCTTCGCAGTTCCTCGTCTGTCTTCCAGATGAGAAAGCTTCAAGTAGCAGAGCAGATGGCTGCCCTAACCCAGCTGGTGTACCAGATACTCATTTAGCAGTTCTGGCCACAGGGAGGGATCCGATAACTGAAAGCTTGGTTGGAAGTCACTGGTGGACAGAATATTGCCTCACTATACCAGCAAACATAGCCCGTTGATGAAATATTCCCTTAGTTAGAAAAGCGGACAATTTAAGCCCTAAAAATGATCTTCAATAAACTACACACACACACACACAGAAATTGGGAAAAAATTATGATGGCATACGCTGTTGTCAAAAAATGCTCTAGAAAGTCAGTGGTGTGTGAAATGAGGTGCTTGGATTTATGTATTTGATATGGAAGTAACTATATAAAATATAGACTACACCTGCAAACAAGACAATATTTTTATATCATGTTAAGCTCCTAAATACACTTTAAGGTACCTAAGATAATAGACTTTCGAAAGATGCACATGGCCTCCTGTGGCCACTAATTGCAAGGGATATTTGGAAATCTGACCTTTTAATTAAGGCTTCTGTTTCTCCTAGCAAGCTCAGAAACTGAGCCTTTTTTTAGCACCATGAGATACATTGTTTTGTGATCTTTTGCAGCTTTGTAAAACAATGTTATTAAAAGTTGCAGCTGTGGTTTGGTGGAATGTTTAACAGCAAAATGAAGAACATGTTTATCTTAAGTTTTATTTTCCTTCTACTCCTGCCATGTGGAAAGCATTCCAACACACCTGCTATTGCTGGCAAATAGTTGTTTCAAAATCTGCCTTGCATTTACTCTGACAGTTCAGGTGTCTGACGCCAATCCTCACTTCACTGGTTTGAAAGCTATCTATGTCCAGCCAGTTCTCACAGACAGACTTGCTTTTAATGAAAACTGAAAAATCGTATACCCCCTCCTAGGTGAGGCACTCTGATTTTATTTCCCTGATTATTTCGTTTGCTACAAGTTCCACTTTTAACCTGACATCAGCTGGTTCCCAGCTATGCTATGACAGCAAAAAGAGCTCTTTCTTTTCAATAAGAATTTACATTCTCCTTCTACCTCTATTCCCCCATCAGCAGCCAGCAGTAACACAAATGAAAAGGTTTGCCTGTTTACATAGTTCGTTACAATGTGTATTACAAGATAATTCATGGAATGGAATAGCAAAGGGGAATACTGTAAATGCTGGAAAGTGCTTTCTCTACTCCTGAGCTGTCTTTGTCTCTCTTCTGTACTACTTGGTGCACAACAGAAGATTACAGCCGTCAATAGCTGCTTGAGAGGGAGCGAAGGCTGATCCGTATCTGAAGATGTATAATCCTAGCCCAGGAGAACATTCCCCATCTTGGCTATCCACAGGTGTCTCTAAAGGGGCAGCTTCTGAACTGCATCTAGTGCTTTGCTTGGTTGGTTGGTTTTGGGGTTGGTTTTTATTTTGTTTTGTTTGGTTCATTTTTAAAGCAAGACACATGCACTGACTTCTTGGTCAGTGACCACTGTTTAAGCCGAAATCTCTGGTCAGATGCTGCATCCACAGCTGAATCCTTCAAATAAACCTAAAACCTGTGTATCAACAGAAGCAAATAATCACAGCAGCCGATCGATCACACTGACATTTTCTCTCTATTTCTCCCACTAGGCCCAGGACTGGCATTTCTGGCTTATCCAGAAGCAGTGACACAGTTACCCATTTCTCCTCTGTGGGCAATACTCTTCTTCTCCATGCTGCTTATGCTCGGAATTGACAGCCAGGTAAAACTGCTGTAAAAATTAATAATGAGGACAAATTTTCTGCCACTGTATGGTACAATTTGGGCTCTTTCTGTGCATTCTGCACTGCCAGCAGTTGGTGGTGTAGAATGATTTCAGGAATAATCAGATAATAAGAGGCAGTAAGAAGAGAAAAAACTAAGAGGTTCAGGGAGTCTGGGAGAGTCACAAACTGGTACTTAGACACTTTCAATTTTTCATGACCTGAATAATCACATAATAAGAGGCACTAAGAAGAGAAAATCTAAGAGGTTCAGGGAGTCTGGGAGAGTCACAAACTGGTACTTAGACACTTTCAATTTTTCATGACCTATTGGAAGCGTATAGAAAATATGCAGAAAAAATATTCTGCAGAAAAAGGAACTTTCTTTGAGATCTTAACAGTTCAATCAAAATATTAAAAATACCTTTGCATTAATCATCAATGTGGGAGATACTGGGATACGCTTTACAAGATTTAGATGCCACAAACGTTTCTGAAAGATTACTTCAGAACTTAACCACATTTAGCAAAAAGATGCAGCACACATTTAATTTTGGGCATATGAATGTCAGGAGCAAATTCAGGAGGCAGCAGGCTCGTTACTAAGAACATTCTGCATCTTAGCGTGTTCTGAAATCACTTCCCAATGGTAAGGATGAAGACTTTATTGGTTAAGGCCTTGGCTAAGGGCTATAGGTGGTATCTCTCAACTGGAAATTAATAGGAAGGCACATCCTCGAGGTTTTGCAAATCCAAATAAGATATTCTCCAGAGTTACTGTCTAGATTAAATAATGAAATAATTAAGTGATGTGATCATTAGAAAATGTTTATTGCAAAGCAAACAAAAAAGCACACAGAACAAGAAGCAGCACTTTACATGCTAGAAGGGACTATGTCTCTTAGTCCCCTATGGGACTAAGCATCCGTTAATCAGTAATAATATTAATACAGATAGCAACTCTATTGTAAGCACCCTGGCTTATTTTGCAAAGCATACTCTGAGGACTTTGTCAGGGAAGTCCCTCCTGCCTGCTGAAATGTTTGGTCATTTGTATTTGAGCAGTCACAGGCAGATGTCTTAATCTCCTTGCAATCAGCTGCAGTTGTCAAAGCAGCACCTTACATTCATTTGCACCATCCTCATAGCGCATAACAAAATAGGAGAATTGCTAGCTTAGTGCTGAAGTAGCCTTTCAGCAGAGATAATCCATCATTTTCTATAAATCCAAGCTGACTTCAGCCTGTGAACCAAAATACAAAAAGACCAAGAGGGGATTTTATCCTGCAACATGAAAGGAAGCTGAAAATGTATGTTTTCTATTTCTTTGTTTTTCGGTAAGCTTCAGGCTTGACATTAAAACCTATTGCTCAGGCTGGGGGGAAACTACTGTGAAATTAATTGGGTCAAAAATATTCTTGAAATAACTTGTCTCTAGGCAACTAACAGCTGAGGAAGGTCGTCCAATATTATTAAAAAGAATATATATATATCTACAGGCTGTCATGCTTTCTTCATCTTCTGCCTATCGGGGAAACATTTTGTACGCTATAATTTATAGGAACTATAACTATTGGTTAAATTTCAATTGCACTGCTGGAAATGAATAAAAATCTACATACCTTCTGTTTTTCATTATTTCAGCCATCATAATGACAACATTTGTTTTGAATATATACACACAGTAAAGATCTGAAGTATGGCCGTGCTTTCCATTTGGAAGATCACATCATCAGCAGAAATCTTACCATTGCATTGTCTTTTCTGAGGATACAAAAAGCATTTGATTTATAACAGATGAGAATCAATCTTGTGTCCTTAAGCTTCGCTCTGAAGCACTGATCTGATTACACTTTTTGTGTCTGTTGGCTTTCACATATGTGAGTAAATCACAGAAAGAAGTCTGAGGTTTTGATTGCGGGGTCAAAGCCTTCAGCTGTAGGTATATTGTCTTCTATCACAAGAAAGAGCACTTTATCTTCATCAAGCACATGCTATTGTTCATAATTTGGAAATCTGAGTGTTTTTCTAGCTGAAAATCTTTTTGCACAAATCCTTTTAGACAGAAATGAGGATATTCAGAAGCACTGCTTCCACTGAAGTCAAGTGAATTTTCATTTATCATTTAATGGATGCAGCCTTAGGCCAGTGATGAGTAGTGTTGAAAACTCCTCCCCTCAATGTAATCCTGCTGCTGCAGTGCTTTGCATTGTATCTTATCTCTGACTTTACTTGCAGTTCTGCACTGTGGAAGGATTCATAACAGCGCTGGTGGATGAATTTCCGAAGTTACTGCGCAATCGCAGAGAAATCTTCATTGCTGTTGTATGCATTGTGTCCTACCTGATAGGGCTGTCCAATATCACTCAGGTAGGTTCTGCAGAAGAACATGATCTTACGTCTGACACACAGCATCTGTTTTATTTCCTGCCTCCCCCACCCCAACCAGGAATCACTGCAAACCAGCGAAGTGGCAGGGATCATCAGCACTATCCGAAGCCTCCGGGCAGCAGGCAGTAATGTGTGAGGTTAAAATTCCCGTAGTCCCTGGATGCAGCAAGGCCTTCGTGGTCCAGGTGACAAGAACATACCCACCTCTGCAGCCTGTCGTACAGTCCCACACGTGGCAGCCAGGGATGTTCTCCATTGCCTCCTGTGATCTACTAGACTGCAAAATATTTCAGGGAAATGTTTGAATTATTGAACAAAAAGGAGTAAAGTGAAATCAAACCAGTTAATTGAATTCTAGCAGTAATCTAATTTCTGTCAGTATTGACCCCAAGCATTGTAAGACTTTAACCTGTTAACTTTAATTTACATTAATACATCCCGAATGTATTCACCACTGTTTGTAGCTTGCATTTTAATCTCCCTTGAAATTGGAGTCCTTACTATTTATTTTGACACTTTCTTCTTGTATATTTTAGGGTGGAATCTACGTGTTTAAGCTTTTTGACTACTACTCTGCCAGCGGAATGAGTCTCTTGTTCCTTGTATTCTTTGAGTGCATCTCGATATCCTGGTGCTATGGTAAACAGCATCTTTTTATTTTTTCCATAAATTTTGCACATTGCAAGGATAGTTCATCTACTGATTTGTTCTTTTGTTTGTGCACATGCTGAGGATGGAGCTGAAATTGGCCTTGTTTCATATGCATATAATTCCACTGAGGCCACAAAGGTGGCTTGTGGAAGGCACGCCTGCCTCTTTAGAACACCCGATGTGTAAGCCTGAAAGTCATTAGATGCTAACTGTGTCAGGAATACTAAATAGGTGACATCTCCATCTTTTTTTCCCGTCCCCCTTCCTTGGGAAGCCTACATCTTCGGAGGTGTTAGGTACTGCTGTTCCCAGCATAACGACTTGGGTCTTTTGGACTTTGTAACGTTTTGTTTCCAGAAACGACTCTGTCACTCCAGGATCTTGCAGCGAGAGCCAGGCTCCTTGGTCAGTTGTATCTTGTGTAATTGCCCTAAAATATCCTGAAATCTGGGCTGACAAGCTCTGCATATAAAGATTAATCAATATGTGTCATTTTCTTGCCAGAGTATTTGTACGTTTGACCTGAGTTCTGTGTTAGCCAGTCCAAGGACCTACTCCCATGGTCACTAAGGCACTTCAGCTTATATTACAAAACTGATTCCAGCTAGATAACTGGAGGCTTTCTGCTGTCTTTAATGGGCTTAAGAGGATTGAACAGCATTTTACAGGAGAGAGATACTGCATGTGTATCCAGCAAATGTGAATGGAAAACCACGCCAGCTAAATAATGACAAAATCAAAGTGATCAATAATATGATAGACATACCTTTTAGAAGATGATTGAGTGCTGGTAGGTCCCAGCAGCAGCAGCAGCAGCAGCAGAAGCGAGACTCTGTTTTCATACACAGTTCTGCATGTATATGGTGTGCATATATCCACACAGAGTGAAGCTGGTTAACACTAGGATGGATTTTTTTTTTATTTAATTTGTAAAATATCATTATAAATCTCTCGTTCTAATAAGACTTAGAGTTGAGATTATCCAAGGGTGAACTATTGTGTCTGACCTTCAGATGTACAGACTTCCTCAGCCTTTGCATGGGAATAAGTTTGCTGGTTGCTAATTAATTATGGAAGAATGAGAACAAATGATTCTTGGTGCTTCTGAGTTTGCGAATTTCTTTCCCATTCGGATAGGTGAAACGTTATGTCAGGGTCTGTAGAGAACTTCCAGATATACCTCATCATTTATGACAGTGTCTCTCAAAACCACTGAGCTTTCAATTGAAGCAATGTTCTGACATGTTCCTATACTGTTTCTTATTTCTGTATTTAGGTGTTAATAGATTTTATGACAACATCCAAGAGATGGTGGGATACAGACCCTGCATCTGGTGGAAACTCTGCTGGTCATTTTTCACTCCTATCATTGTGGCAGTAAGGAACAAACTTTTATTATATTATTCAAAGGATGTAAATGAGGTGGCCCATGTACTACAGCACTGTCATTTCCAGCCCTCAGGTTCATGTTAACTCTGGCCTCATTCCTTTTTTAAGGATTTGAGCAATTCCATTAAAGGCAATAGGCAAAACCCAGTGTCATTAGAGGAAGCCTGTGCCCTAGGAAAAGCAGCCTTGTCCAATTTCAAGATTTGTATTAGTCCCACGGAAATGGTAACTAGTCAAGAGTTTGGTTGGCAGAGACAGAAAACTGTAAGAAACAAATTTTGACCATTTCTTGTATTCTTACATAAAATTTAGCAATCTCTCTAAAGTCTAAATTTTCCATACAGACAAAAATGCCACATTTAGTGAACTGAATTCCTTCACAAGCACTCTGCTGGTAACAGACTCGGATTATAAACTGATGCTCTTCTCTCATGGGTTTCTGTGGAATATATTACCCAGTTTATGCTACATTGCTACTGTTTTTTTCTGGCAAACCATGCAAGGATTGTGTGCACTGGAAACAGCCATACAGTCTTTTCCTGCTTCTAAGCTTTATCCCATTAAGCCCATAGACTACATTTTGAAATAATAAGCAAAGTAATGTAAATTTACTACACATAATGTAGTCAACCCAGACTAGACACAATTACACGTGACACAATACTTCCCACTCCCTGATATTTCTCTGATATTCCCATACAGGTAGCCCAGGGCCACAGAAAAACAAACACCACTAAAGAGAGGCACAGAAATGTGTTTATACTGAGGGTTCCTTGATCCATCTCTACCCAGATGAAGGTGGCTTTCATTTTTCTGAAAACAAGTGTTCAGGAAGGCATAAAAAATGCATTTGGTTTATTTCAGTGGAATAGCAGGAAGATGGCTGATATTGTATATAAAGCTTACCAGATTTCTCCTGTCTTACAAAGTCTTCAACAGCATTTGTTGTCCAGTGCCAGTTCACAGGTGGTGATGATGTGCTAATAAAATCTGCCACTCTGCGTTATCCTCTCTGGGAACATGTTCTGCACAAGGCCTGAGCCTGGGATCAGGATGAGCTGCCTCCTTTGCTGGTTCAGCTTAGCGGGTTTCCCTGACGCAAGCTGGTTTAGACATTGGAAACAGGCCAGGATAGGAGTCTTCCTTGGGCACTTAAAGGAAAAAATACCATGTTTGCAGGTCATCTCTTTGAAAAAAAAAACACAAAAGGAACCCCCGAGTGCTGCTGATCAATGGTACAGTATACATGTGTATGCGGTATTATTCCCCAGGACCCCATCTTTCCCAGTAGCCCCCTTCCCTCTGATTTTGTGCAGGTTACCCGAGGCCTCTACTAGTACCAGTGGATTCCCCGTACCCGCACACCTGGATACTCTGAGATGCAGGTTATGTGTGTGAAAACACAGGGTTAACTAGAAACATTAAGATTAATTTTGGTAAGAAGCTTCTTGGGAAACTATCTCCTCATCTCTTGTTACTGAAAAATTCAAAGTGGTTTTTGAATTTCACAAGATAAGTTCTGTTACACAGACAAATCTGTAGCCACTCACTGAACCACAGGTTCCATTCTGCCTGCCCTCATTTTCCATATGCATTTGTTCAGAGGGTTTTGTATAAAGCCTCTGGGCCAAACACTCATAGCTGGTGATATCAGAGAGGTCGGTGCAGAGCCAGGCTTTAGGGAACATTTCTGATTCAGAGCTTCTGGGAGTCTGTTGCTGACCAGTAGAGTAGAGCTGTACTGACACTATTACTACAGTTAGAAAGTTAGTGGAAACAAACACCCACCTTCACAACTGCAGAAGTAAAGATCAGTTATTTACACACTCCCACACTAGAGGTGAAGCTCACAGGGAGTCGGCGCTGTGGGCTGACATTTGCCTGTTTTCTGCAACCTCCCTCTGCAAGCCTGACCTGCAGTGCCCAGCAGCCAGCCCCAGGGCCCAAGGAACCCTCTTCTCCTGGCCTGGAGGGAAAGGCAGGCTGGAGGTCCAAGCCAATCCAGAAAAAGTCTTGAACACAGAACACTCTGGAAATCTCATCCAAATCTCCTTTCTGCTGTATTTTGCAGGGAGTATTTATCTTCAGTGCTGTCCAAATGACTCCTCTCACGATGGGAAGTTACGTTTTCCCAAAATGGGGCCAAGGGGTTGGCTGGTTCATGGCTTTGTCTTCTATGGTGCTGATACCAGGCTATATGGCATATATGTTCCTAACCCTGAAAGGCTCCTTAAAACAGGTGAGTCTCTCTTTTTCCTGACCACATGATTTCATCTGGCGAGACCTGTGCACACTGATAAAAGGCTGTTGGGCAGCTATTTTCTGTAGTTCCTGTGGCCTCACTTGCTTAGCCCAGTTATTTTTGTATCGAGCTGAAAAACATCAAACCAAGTACCAAGCAGACAAAAGACCTGACAGTGTCTGTACCATCTGTTGTTATACATCATTCACCGTGTTAAACGCGGTCCTTATCTCTGGGCTTTGACAGTTCCAGATGTGTTGTGTGCCAGCTCCTTATACCCAGAAAACAAAGTGGCAGTTTAAAAAATATGGAAATTTGTCCTTATTAACGCAAGACATGCTGTCATGTATCAAGGCAGGTGATGCTCTGAGGAATTGGAATCAGACTCTTGGGAATAAATCCACATAACTCTTAGTTTCCATGAACCTGCTCCCAGATCAAGGATTTGAGCTCCTGTTCTGCATCACACCTGTTCCAAGTTACAACAGCTGCCTTATTCTGCTGCAACTAAGAGAAAGTACACGTAAAATCTTGGGAGCGTATTTTATGATCACGCTGCACTTCCCTCTAGTCTTTATTTAAGGGATTTCCATGAGCAGTTACTTCATGAAGAACATTACTTGTTCACTGCAAGAGTGATCAGGCATTGGAACAGGCTGCCCAGGGCAGTGGTGGAGTCACCATCCCTGGAGGTGTTCAAGAAACGTGTAGATGTGGTGCTTCGGGACATGGTTTAGTGAGTTAGGTGGTGTTGGGTTGGACTTGATGATCCTTGAGGTCTTTTCCAACCTTAATGATTCTATGGTTAGAGGCTTTTGTTCTCATTGCACTGTGCTCTGAGACATCTCCTTCCATCAGTTAAAAGGAGATGACGCTTCCCACGTGTGAGAGGCATTGTATGGCTTAAATCCATTCTAAGTTCCTCGGAGAAATGCTGCTAAAGGAGTGTGAAATGTTAGTAAGGCTACTGACCTGGACGCTGGTTAGTACGTACCTACAATTGCCATACTTCATTTTTTTTATCTGGGTGCATCCTCAGTTTTCCCTTTCCAGACAGTAATCTCATTCTGTGCGTACCAGGCACTTCTTCAGCACAAGTATTGAAACATGTATCTCTGTCCTTTATGGTTGTGGAATGAAAGATTGTCAAAATGATTTTGTCAGAATTTCTGGAACATTCTAAAATCAGCTGACAGAGCCATCTTTGCAAAGGGACAGATGAAATGCCTCATGAATTGCTCAGGTCTTCATCCAAATATTTGTTTTCAGCAAATTTTAAGACTCAGTGATGCTGTAAAGAAGCCTACAAAAAGTCTACGGGGTTTTTTTCCTCCCACCTTGCTTGTTCTTAGCTGTTACACGTTGAATATTTTTCCCTTGATCTTACAGAAACATTTGCATGCAAATGGAGAACTGTTGCTCTGAAATATAGCTGCTGCTTGGGAAGAGTTGCGTAAGACCACAGTAAAAGTTCCTCATCTCAGTCTTGCTGTGCATTAAGGTCTCCGTTTGGAAAGCACTGACAAATGATCATTAGATAATAGGAGGAGCTTGCACCACTCACAGGCTTTGATGATCAAATCTGGGCAAGACTGAGCTAGAAATAAAATATCTTAAATAGAAGTCTACCTGTTGTATCCTTGGAGGTAGTACCTCCCGAAAGCTGCAGCCAGTACTCTCCAGTCCCTTCTGCTCCCTGGGGAGGGTCACCATCACATCTGAGACTCAGCTCTGAGTCCCTGTTGCCCTTAGGAGATAGATAGAATTTTTAATTTAATCACCAATGCCTAGACAGAAGTATTTAGGATTTCCTCTAAAAAAAAAACCAGAGCCACAAAGATGATGAAGGGAATGGAGCATCTCCCTGCTGAGGAAAGGCTGAGGGAGCTGGGTCTCTTTAGCCTGGAAAAGAGGAGACTGAGGGGTGACCTAATCAATGTTTATAAATACGTAAAGGGTGAGTGTCAGGAGGATGGAGCCAGGCTCTTCTCTGTGACATCTAGTGATAGGACAAGGGGCAATGGGTTCAAGCTGGAACATAGGAGGTTCCACTTGAATATGAGAAAAAACTTCTTCACGGTGAGGGTGACAGAGCACTGGAACAGGCTGCCCAGAGAGGGTGTGGAGTCTCCTTCTCTGGAGACATTCAAAGCCCGCCTGGATGCGTTCCTGTGTGATCTGATCTGGGTGTTCCTGCTCCGGCAGGGGGATTGGACTGGATGATCTTTCGAGGTCCCTTCCAGTCTCTAACATTCTGTGATTCTGTGAAAAAAACCAAACTTTTGACTGCCTCACATTTATTGTTGTTCTTTAACAGCGCATCCAAGTAATGATTCAGCCAAGCGAGGACATCACTCACCCTGAGAATGGGCCAGACCAGGCCCAACAGAGCAACTCTGCAAACAAAGAAGCCTACATCTAAACTTCTGTATTGTAAGAGTACCAACACTACTCCAGAAAAACAAAAAATATGGTTGAATATGACCACAAATTTATGTCTGAGAATATAATTACCTACCTCTAGTGGCAAAAAAAAAAAAAAAAGAAAAAAAAAGAAAAAATAAAAAAGGTCATCTCCACTGTAAGGGAATCGCCATGGGTATGATCCAAACATTGTGCAAGCTCAGATGTTGACAGTGTTTTGTGTTCTCTGGCAATCCACAGACTGTTAATGTTTGTATCCTTTCACAATAATAGTTGCATATCTTGGAATTTGTAAATTGATGTGCCAAGACCTTTTTAATCTACCTATTAGCACGACGATTTGAAGTTTTGTGCTGCTGATTTTTAGTAGTTTATCAATATTTCTTACCGCTGAATCCCAAGACTGTTATTTCTGACTTTGCAGGAGTAAAATCAAGTTTGGAATTGTTTTGTACAAAATAATTAAGTATTTTGTAAACAAGTGATTTCCAGTGACAAAGTCTGCCCTTACAATTTGCTCCAGTTGAGGCCATTTGAGGGGGAAGCGGCTTCCTCCAGGCACCAGTAGACACAGCCTCTTGAAACATTCCTAGTGCAAAGGAAGTGAGGTGGCTGTTTGTGGCAGTGCAGCACCGGCCGGCTGTACTCAGCCTTGCAGGATAACTTTCAAACAAGATCATGAATTTCTTTAAAACAGAGATACTATTTCTTATAAAAAGAGCATATCTTTGTGAGTCAATACTATGTGAATCACAGGTGTTAGAGGCAAAAAGATGAGAAGTAATATCCAAGAGCTCTTGAAGATTCCCAGGAGTAAAAGAAATACAAAGTATTTGCAATTCACGCTCAGAGTACTTCAGCTTGTATTATGCTGTTGTTATTCTACTGTTATTGCATTGCCACCAAAATAGAAACCAAAACAATGGTTTAAAGACTGCAGCTTATCCTTGTAATTTAGGGTTTAATTCACAACTGTTCTTTTTAATCTGTTAAAGGACTTTAACAGTTTATAATAAGCAAATCATAAAATATGGACTGTTAGCACTTTGAAAACAGTTTTATTTTTATTGACATATTATTTGTGGTGATGAAGGCAGGAAGGAAAGCTATTTCAGTAACATGTAAAAATCTCTACTCTGGGCTCAGCCTGCATTTGCCACACAGCCGAGCAGCCCGTTCAGCTCGTGGAAACGTTTCCCTTGTGTGGCCAATGCAGTGGCTCACCCTGCACGGCATTTCTCGTTTGGCAGCTATCCGACAGGCACAGATTACAGAAAATGCAGTAGTTGATGTTTGATTGTAAATGACTGTGACAGAACTGTGCAATGAAACATGCTTTTCAGCAAATTTTTGTGCAACGTACAATGTTAGATAGCACAATTTATGTAGAACTACTCTGTGAAAAACATGTTAACTGTGAATGTTGGGTTTTTCGTTGTTTTTGTCTGAAGGTGACCAACATGTTCTTGCAATAAGGTATTATTCTCAGAATGTCAAGCACATTATTGTAGAAATAATATATATAATACATGTATTTCAAAATACATCATAAAATCGCAGAGTATGTTTGGTAGATTCTAAACTGTTTCATACATAGATCAACTGTAAAATATTACGAGATCTAAGCTACATCCTAAACAGCTCTAGCTGCGATGCAAAAGTCCTGTAAGTCTTTGGGATTTAGAGGAAACCCATACATCCTTCACACATGTTATACATCATACATGCACATTATAATTGTGAATTTCATTAGACTAAGGATAAAAATTCCGACTTTCTCTTTATTGTTTAATGTAATCAAGTCCCATGTTGTTATAAGAACAATGCAGTATTTAATGTTTGATTGTAAACACTTATGACAGATGTTTGACAGACCTGCTCTCTAGCAAAAAGCTGTACAAACGTATCACATAGCACAAATAGTGTTGTAGAACTACTGTGTGTAAACTGTGAATAGCTGTATCTTTTTTGTAGTACTTGCCCTGAAAAAAAAAAAGATTATCATATATGATCATATATGCTTTTTGCAATAAGAAAATATCTGAACACCAAGCAAATCTATCTCTATATAAAAATATATATGTAATATATACATATTCAAAAAAATATATACAGAGCCTGTTTAAAAAGAGTACAATATTATTTAGTAAATTGCAACCTGTTCTATGGACCAAATGTAAAATATTTATAAATTAAGATGCATTTTAAATGTCTATAAATGGTGTCATAATTAAAGCACGATTGTTATGTAAGTTTCCAAGAGTTTAGAGGAAAAAGAATAAAGGTTATATTATACATTACATTCAGAATGTTGCAGTCTCTCATTGGACAAAACCAACGTGTGCTATTTTCTGTGAAGCAAGTTCTAAATGTTTTGTATATATATAAAAATATATATCCTTTAAATATCAAAATGCTGTATCACCTGTGAGACGTGTCTCACTCATCCATGGCGCTATGTCTGTAATTCAGCTGGTCCGTGCATCTGCTACCCAGGAAGCTGAAATGGTGCCGGTTACGAGTTCTACCTGGCTCCTGCTGCTCTAACGCTCCTGGAGGAAGGTGGCAGCCCAAAAAACCCCAGGAAAATGCCCCGATGGCAAAATGGCCATTCCTCAGGTACGTTTCTGCTGATAGTTTGGGGTGCGAACCGCAGCACCTGCAGTCCCTGATTTCTGAGCTGTAACGAGGCGTGTGCCACCCCAGGCTGGAGCCAAGGGGCTGGTGAGACATGGCCTTACACGAGCCAGAGAGATGATGCATTTCCACAACAAATCATTGTTCTCTCTATCAGCTGCCATTGAAGGGTGAGAAGATGTCAAGCAAGTTGCACAGCAGCCTGCTTTACATCCACGTCTGTGCAACGCTGCTGAGGAGCTGAATGCTCTGTGTTCTGAATTTAATTATCTAACTCCACAATTGGAGCAGGACATCATGCTGGGAGCAATTTAGAGAACATGATTAGAATTGAAAATGCTCCTGATAGAAGCATCTGAGATCATAGACGTCAAATACAAAATGCTGACCTTAGAAAGGAGAACTCAACTGTGCAAGTACGAGGCAGGGGCAGACCTGCTTTTAAAAACTGCTGGGGAGGACGGGCGGGGGCATGCAGGGAGGATCACAGATTGCTCTGGAAATGGGGGAAGGAGCAGCTTTGATGCTTTTGAAATGCAGAGGAAAAATTAAATCCTCTTTAATGTTTAGTTCATACGCATTGTGTGTTGCATTGACACCTGCTGCTTTCACGGTATGTTGTAAGAAAAAGGAAGAGAGCTGCATCTGAGAGAG